TTTTCGTTTCACTAGGGTACCTGCCTTTGAAACCATTAACGTTTTTTTTTCATTATTGCATCTCTTCCATTATTTTTTAAATTTCTCAACTGTGACAGTGTTTAGCAGGTAATACCATTGTGTTTTTTNAAGTACGCGTTGTGAGCTCGGGGCACGTTGTGGGGTCCGCAGGAGTTTGGATCCAATGTCCAGTATCCGATATCTAGCTTTCACTCATTATTACTTGTTAGAGTCATAATCAAAAAGACAGGGGATTCTTGGGTAGATTTTTAAAAAGTTCACCTTGGAGTTTTTTTTTTTTTTTTGTTATTTTCCACCATAGACAAAATTTATCTCGCATAGATTTAACGGTTATTTTGATGCCACTCCCGGATGTCATAAATATATAAAGAATATAATTTTATGTAACATGTATGAATAGTTTTCACATATCCTCAGCTTAATTTTCATAAATGGCTGAAAAGGATTGGCAAAGGGAAAATAAAATGGTATACCGAGAAAGAGGTAGGTGTGACCAAACTAAACCATAACTCGATTAATACAATTAAAGGATGTCTTTTTGGTAATGTTAAAACGCTGTATTCTCAGCCTTATGGACAATAATTTGTAAAAAGGCAAGAAAAAAACTGCACACGATTAAAAAACCCATTTAACTTGATTGAAAGCGCAGTATTAGTCATACCGCTTGAAAGGGATTGTGTCAGATAAGCAGTTTGCATCACAATCGCAATTTTAAAATTGCGAAGACTCCGAAGGAGACTGTGCAAGCTACATAGGATTTGATTGTGTTTCATTTAGGTGCGGATCCGGGGTTTTGCTGAGGGGAGGGAGTACAACGAAAACAATTATGTAAATAAAAAGTATTATATGAGGGGCTTAGGGATGTAAAATTTCTTGGCTTTTTCTCATTTTTGCTTGTTCTTGTTCGAAAAAAATTTTATAGGATCGATCCTATATACGGCCCAATTTCCAATGGAAACCAATAGGATACTATAAGAATTTTCGCAATTTTTTTTTGAGGGGGGGGGGGGGGGGGGTTTTGGGGCTTTTGCAGTTTTGGGAGAGAATGTGTGACCAACTCATGACAATGAGCTTTTATCATTCTTCCATCATATTTAACTTCTACCACTGACATTTATAAATGTAGAGGAATACGGGGATTTGCAATGGCTACCCATCGACGACATCTAGTTTAAATTTTCACGGCGTTCTCGTTTCCTTATTTCTAATACAATATACATGTGGGCTTGATAAAAGTGTAACAATAGACTTGCTTGTTTGTTATGGTCACCAACGTGGAGGGTGATCGGTCTGTATGGATAAATGAATACCTTGAATTTCCTGCAGTGTTTTCCATATATTGTATTCTAAAAGAGGTGTATAAGTCAAGTTGATGCAACTCCAACAGACTCAACAGACGATGTTGCTGTTTAAAACCAGAAATACATGAATATTATTTTTCAGTTTTGCCACTTAAGTAGATCTTAGGCCCATTTTATGGAAAAAGATACAGTTCTAAGCATTTTCGCTACGCTACCTGCCTTAAAAACCACAACATTTTTTACATTATTGCATCTTTTGCATTATCTTTTTTAATTTCTTTACTATGACACTGTTTAGCAGGTAATACCATTGTGTTTTTTCTATTTTTTTATTTCACATCTACTGCAATAACTCAGATCAGCACCGTTTCTTCAAACTTCCCGGATGACATAAATATATATTCTCTAGAGATATTTCTTTGGGGGAAAATAAAACAAAGGATTAGTTTTGATCAGTAAGGGTCTACCGAACTCCAATATTGAACAAAATGCATAAAAAGATTTAAGATAAGTTAAAATGGCTTTATTTAACATTCTTCGCATAGGCTTACGTAGTATCATTGCCATTTACATGTACAACGCTACAACGTCCAGTGTTTTCATTTATGAATTTTGTTAAATTATGATTTTTCCGAATTTCTCAAACCATTAGTTCTAATTTTTATTTTCATTGAACTTAACTTTCTATTTTCAGCAGTATAAAAGCAGCAGAGTATTGTAAGTATTCTGAGCAAAACCTACCAAGGTGAAACAGATCGATATAAAGTTTATGTACTAAACTCAAAAGTCCTGGTTTATTCTTACGACTAATTATTCTATATTATTTTCATTTCATATTTAAGCAGTCTTACAAATATAAGATCTCGTAACAAAAAAGAAGGCACCGTAAAAAAGTTATTCTTTGAAATATTTGTCGCAGAGTATTTTGTTTCATATACCAAAATACATTTTCTATGGAACAAACTGCGAAAAATATATATTATTCTCAGAAGCAAAATATACAGTATATAAAAACTCACCGAAAGCGTAAAAAGTACATACACAGTTTGAGACATTGAGCAAGAGTAAAATTAGGGAATGACAGTTCATTCTTTTTCTATGTGTAACTTTGTGACTAGATAACACACTTTTGTTGCGTTCTTCAAAAGATATGGAATATAACTGATGAGGCCAAGAAACGCCGGCTGCATCATCCTGTATGTGAACAAATTATCCCTCTCATTGTGGATTTCTTTGAAGATGAAGTCATTGGAATATTCCTTGTTCAGTTTTGCATACAGACGATCGATTTTGTCTTTGATTTGAGGCTCACGAAGTCTCGTAATGCTCTCGCAAAATTCACAAGTTCTTTCATAGACATTCTTATCTCCCATTGCTTTCAATTCACTGAGTCGTGTCCAGAATTCATAAAATTCTTCCAGTTTTTCGTGTGATGTAAGCCGCCATCTTTTTTTGCTTAATAACAATCTGCACATTTCAAGAACCTTGATGAAGTCATTCATGGTATATATGTCTCTCGGGACTAGATCCGGAACTGCCAGCTGAAAAATAATGATAATGGAATCACAGCCGTGTTATTGCAGGGGAGGTTCCAGGATTATTTGAAGGGAGGGTGCGCGGATGCGAAGCCAACCATTCTCCCCCCCCCCCGNAAAGTACGCGTTGTGAGCTCGCGGCACGTTGTGGGGTCCGCAGGAGTTTGGATCCAATATCTAGTATCCGATACCTAGCTTTCACTCATTATTACTTGTGAGAGTCATTATAAAAAAGACAGGGGATTCATGGGTAGATTTTTAAAAAGTTCACCTTGGAGTTTTTTTTGTTATTTTCCACCATGGACAAAATTTATCTCGCATAAATTTAACGGATATTTTGATGCCACTCTAGAATTTAACTTAAAGAATATAATTGTATGTAACATGTATGAATAGTTTTCAAATGTCCTCAGCTAAATTTTCATAAATGACTGAAAAGGATTGGAAAAGGGAAAATAAAATGGTTTAGCGAGAAAGAGGTTGGTATGACCAAACGCAACTATAACTCGATTAATACAATTAAAGGATGTCTTTTCGGTAATGTTATTACGCTGTATTCTCACGTTCATGGACAATAATTCAATAATTTGTAAGAACGTAAGAAAAAACTGCACACGATTAAAAAAAACCATTTAACTTAGTTGAAAGCGCTGTATCAGTCATACCGCTTGAAAGGGATTGTGTCAGATAAGCAGCTTGCATCACAATCGCAATTTGAAAATTGCGAAGACTCCGAAGGAGACTGTGCAAGCTACATAGGATTTGATTGTGTTACATTTAGGTGCGGATCCGGGGTTTTGCTGAGGGGAGGGGGTACAACGAAAACAATTATGTAAATAAAAATGTAGTATTTTATGAGGAGCTCAGGGATGTAAAATTTCTTGGCCTTTTTCTCAGTTTTGCTTGTTCTTATCCCTTAAGAAAAAAAATTATAGGATCCTATACGATCCTATAGGAATTGACAAAATTTCCTATAGAATCTAGTTTACATTTTCATGTCGTTCTCGTTACCTTTTTTCTAATACAATAAACATGTTAGCTTGATAAAAGTGTAACAAGAGACTTGCTTGTTTGTTATGGTCACCAACGTGGAGGTTTATCGGTTTGTATGGATTAATGAATACCTTGAATTGTCCTGCAGTGGTTTCCAAACACTGTATGTCTAAAAGAGGTGTATAAGTCAAGTTGATGCAACTCCAATAGACTCAACAGACGATGCATTCGAGCTGTTTAAAACCAGAAATACCTTAATATTATTTTTCAGTTTTGCCACTAAGTAGATCTTAGACCCATTTTATGGAAAATGATACAGTTCTAAGCATTTTTCGTTTCACTAGGGTACCTGCCTTTGAAACCATTAACGTTTTTTTTTCATTATTGCATCTCTTCCATTATTTTTTAAATTTCTCAACTGTGACAGTGTTTAGCAGGTAATACCATTGTGTTTTTTTTTTATTTTTTTTTTAAATTTCACACCTACTGCAATAACTCGGATCTAACTGCAATAACTCGGATTTCTTCAAACTTCCCGGATGTCATAAATATATATTCTCTAGAGATATTTCTTTGGGAGATAATAAAACAAAGGATCAGTTTTGATCAGTAAGGGTCTACCAAGGTCCAATATTGAACAAAATGCATAAAAAGACTTAAGATAAGTTAAAATGGCTTTATTTAGCTTTTTTCGCATAGGCTTACGTAGTATCATTGCAATTTACAGTACATGTACAACGCTATACTAGAGCGTCCAGTGTTTTTATTTATGAATTTTGGTAAATTATGAATTTTTCGAATTTCTTAAACCATTAGTTCTAATTTTTATTTTCATTGAACTTAACTTTCCATTTTCAGCAGCATAAAAGCAGAGTATTGTAAGTATTCTGGGCAAAACCCACCAAGGTGAAACAGATCGATATAAAGTTTATGTACTAAACTCGAAAGTCTTTATTTATTGTTACGACTAATTATTCTATATTATTTTCATTTTATATATAAGCAGTGTTACAAATATAAGATCTCTTGACAAAAATGAAGGCACCGTAAAAAAGTAATAATTAGAAATATTTGTCGCAGAGTATTTTGTTTCATATGCCAAAATACATTTTCTGTGGAACAAACTGCAAAAATATATATTATTCTCAGAAGCAAAATATACAGTATATAAAAACTCACCGAAAGCGTAAAAAATACATACATACATAATTTGAGACATTGAGCAAAAGTAAAATTAAGGAATAACAGTTCATTCTTTTTCTATGTGTAACTTTGTGACTAGATAACACACTTTTGTTGCGTTCTTCAAAAGATATGGAATATAACTAATTAGGCCAAGAAACGCCGGCTGCATCATCCTGTAGGTGAACAAATTATCCCTCTCATTGTGGATTTCTTTGAAGATGAAGTCATTGGAATATTCCTTGTTCAGTTTTGCATACAGACGATCGATTTTGTCTTTGATTTGAGGCTCACGAAGTCTCGTAATGCTTTCGCAAAATTCACAAGTTCTTTCATAGACATTCTTATCTCCCATTGCTTTTAATTCACTTAGTCGTGTCCAGAATTCATAAAATTCTTCCAGTTTTTCGTGTGATGTAAGCCGCCATCTTTTTTTGCTTAATAACAATCTGCACATTTCAAGAACCTTGATGAAGTCATTCATGGTATATATGTCTCTCGGGACTAGATCCGGAACTGCCAGCTGAAAAATAATGATAATGGAATCACAGCCGTGTTATTGCAGGGGAGGTTCCAGGATTATTTGAAGGGAGGGTACGCGGATGCGAAGCCAACCATTCTCCCCCCCCCTCCCCGGGCCTGGTATAAGGCCCCAAAAAATTTGGCATTTAAAGGGGCGAACGGTGCAATTTGGTAAGTTTTAGAACTATGATTCAGCTAGCCAAAATGCGAATTTCAAGAGGGGACCATTGGTGTTATTTTTTCAGAAATCGAAGGGGGAGTCAGCCCCCCCCCCGATACCCCCCCCCTAAATCCGCCACTGAATTGATGCACCAGTAAGATAATAAACATTTTATTATACACCAGTAAGATAATAAACATTTTATTTTAGCATAACATTTCAGCGTAAAATCATATTCAGCTTTTCTATTGAGAGAGAGAGAGAGAGAGAGAGAGAGAGATGATGTAACTAAAATAAAAATGGAAAAAAAGGAAAAAAAGGAAAAAGAAAGAAGGGCTACATACCTGTACAGTCTGTAAGGCCACACAAAAGGCCTTGTTGTTTGCGCTGAACCATTCAATAAACTGCGTCCGCAAAGCGTTGTACTTCTTCAGATGTGCCAGAGCATCTTTTTTCACTTGATCTAGCTCTATAAGTTTTATATCAAACTGCGTCAGTTGCTGCTGCTGGGCGTGTCGTCTCATCAGGGGAGTTGGCACTGGGGTCCAATATGGCGTGTTACGAGGAGTCGTCACTGACGACATCTGGGAAATCTGAAGTTTCGATAAAAATGGCAGATTAATGGACAAAGAGACGAGAGAATTAATATGAGTAGCTATGTTTGTATGTTGTTTCACACAAATGGCAATGAAATCATACTTGTAATGCGTCCCTGGACGGCGTCGTCTGCTTTACTAAGCGTTAGGATTCAATTCCAAAATTATCATTTTATCAAATTATTGAAATTAAATAAGATATAGGTGTTGATCAAATGAAAAATGTCACTAAAACAAGAATAAAATGCAAATTAAAAAAAAAAAAATTCACGGATGTATATCCTGACTCCGTTTCTAGGAACTCAAACAGAAGGATGTAATGGAAGAAAGAATAAACATGGCGTATCGACCTGTACCATTTGACAGCGAACGAGGAGAGTTTTGTGCTATTTACTTTCTTTAATCGATTTCAATTGTAGCTCCCAGAGAAATGGTGCGCACTGACGTTATTTACAATAGATGTGTGAGTTTGCCACTGTGGCTTCATTGTTGGCAAATATGTATTTTACCTGATTAAACTGGAAGGAACTTGAAATCATAAAAAAGATCCGTTGAAATTTTATTAATAATGGTCTACGAGAATGTATATCCAAACAAATATTTTCATGAAATATTGAATCTTCCTCGTGCTGTTTTGTACATTTTGATTTAGTCTCTTCTGCTTTTATTCTTTTGTGTGTGTAATGGAAAAGTATCACCTCTTTCTTTCCCTCTCTCCCCTCGCCACACACACACACACACACACACACACACACACACACATACACACACACACACTTATCTTCGCAGGTTTACAAATAACGGCACACACACACATACACATACACGCACACACACACACACACACACACTTATCTTCGCAGTTTTACAAATAACGGCACACACACACATACACACACACACACACACACACACACACACACACAAACCCACGCTCATGCACTCACACACATACCTAGATCACCACAAACTCCTTAGTTAATACAATCGTATCTCAGGTCGTACATTGGCTGTGTTTACATTGTTTGATTAAGCCATCTTGAACAGTCAAAATCGCGTCAATCAGTAACAGGCAGTCAATAATTTGACCAAATAATCTTACTCTATGATCATCTGATCACAACAGAAAAAACTGTCAACCATACAAGAGATACGACCATTTTACTGTGGAACTTTCCTCAATGTATTAAACAAGGAAGTAAACAGTTAACTTTAAAATATGTTATTCGGTTGGCATGGAAATGTAACTGATTTCCATTGCTCAATTTACTTTATTTATTCAAACTTCACTCCCGTATCCCCATGTGTAACGTTTTTGTTCTTTAAGTATATATACACTCGGCGCCGTTTTTCAGAACATTAATTTCCATATTTGCAGAGCGCTAGGCAGAGATTGATCGTTCTGGGTTGAACTCTTGACTTCAATATCATGTAGCAACCACGACACTATTAACTTTTGTGCCAGATCAAAGTTCTGACGACCCAGTAATTACCTGCAAAAGCCCGCTAAGGTATAATTCTAAATGACGTTTTTTATACCCGTACATAACTAGGACGTTTTTCAATTATTTCCTTTTGTTAAAGTCAAATTTAAAGAGAGAAAAAACTAACTGTAATCCAACACCAAGACAGAGGGGCTGTGTACGAGTATGTACCGTTATTACACAGTGATTTTTTTCATCGAGTTTTTTTTCTTTGAGGTATTTTCAATTTTCTTAACACTGGGGAATATAAGCAAAATATTTACCAGCTTAGTGTAGATATAGTCCAAGAATTATTTCGTGTACACAAGCCAAAACATGTATGAAGTTCACATTTTAGGTAACCGCCAACCTGGACGCAGGCCTTCATCAAATTGAGTGGAAGGTTCTCAGATATAAAATGTGTCAGACGAAGGCAGGACATCTGAAACAATGCTCTGACCGCTGTGTCACCTGGCGTTCAATAGGTGACATTTACTTTATTTTATGAAGACCATCCTGGTTGGTTGTAAGCCTACGTAAGATTCATAAATATTTTGCTTGTATACAAATAACGATAATTGGACATTGGACAAGTTATTAACCCGTCAAACCTGATGAGTCGTGATTTGTAAAACTGCGAAGATGTGTGTGTGTGTGTGTGTGTGTGTGTGTGTGTGTGTGTGTTATAAAACTAACAAAAAGCAGGCGTTATTGCGTTTACAGAAGCCAAAAGTAGCTTTGCGTTTCTTTTTAGGCTATCAACTGTTATAGTGCAATAATGATCAATATGCCTATCTAGGTTTTGTGCTTGCTTGCTGAAATTCATAGCCGCTTTTATCATTTTGTCCATTCAAGAGAAATATGTCGATTTTTTCTTTATGGTCGTGCTTTGTAAAAACTACAACACCGTGGTATGATATTTATGTGCGTGTTGTATGGTTTCAATCAAGACATTTACGTCAAACGGTATTTCAGCCTCTGAGCTTTGTGAATCGGCATTGGTTTACTTACTCACAAGGGAAATATATGTTACAGTTGTGAGGGCATTTATTATCAACCCTTTCAAGCTGGGATAGACCCGCTCCAGGCTGCCTATTTATTTTGTCTCTAAAATATCATGACGTGAAGCTAAAGCAGGGAAAAGTCTCTATAATTTTTTTCATCCAAACGTATGTCCCGCCTGATAGAAAATGAAATAGTAGAGATTCGCGTTCAGAAAAGTAAATATTGGCTAGAAATGTGATTATAAAAAAGATAAAGGAAGGCGGTCAACAAAGGAACCTCAAAGGATTGTTGTAAGGGGGAAAGGGGTGTCCTGAGCTTGGGGGTTATTAAGTCAAATTATTTCTTTTCCTAAAGGTTACAATTTTTCATATAATCCTGAAAGGCACGTGTGTTTCTTGTCATACGTATTGTTAGCTAATATAACACTAAATCATTAATCAACGATACAACCGCAAACATGATTTTAGTTACACACACACACACACATGTAAGTATAAACTTAAATTCTGTACATTATGAACATGTTCGTACACCAAAGGGCGCCAAGAATTTAACAAATCTCTGTACGCGTTTTCTGTGTTCGTTTTTTAAAAGTCGATTTGCTTTAAGAAAACGTGCGCTTTAATCGACCTTTACCCCGGGCTACCAGGTCTCTACATTCTTGTCAAGATATTGCTTTAAAGAAGTTTTTTCGTGAAAGTACACGCCCACTGAGTGTGCCACATCAGAATATTAAAAATGTTACTTTTAAGGACACCAAGCGTTCGGCTTACCGTAGACCTCGGGGAAAGCAAAGATTCGTCCATCTCGGTTTCCTTCCTGAACTGGATGGGAGAATTCTCTAACCCTCTGTAACCGACTTCTCGCCCCTTTACCGTCTAGATCAAACTTGTTGAAAGACTAGGTAAACTGAGCGAACTTAAATAATCAGACGCCGTCTCTTGGAAGAGCTAGGGACCACGGATTGCCGATTTAATTAACCTCCAGGCTCCATGGCTCAGAGCTCCGACATCAGCACGACCCGCTAGCAAGACGACAGAAACAACTCACTGTGTGCAGTTTTACGTGACGTCAACGACGGGTAAACACGGTTAGGCGTACACTGTGGTTATCGGTATGTTTTAGTGGTCCACACTTTCTAAAACCATTTGTAAACTTGAATAACTAACACTTTGACAGCATCAACTATAATAGACTTCTCCTGCAATTTTGTTTTAATATTATAGCAACCGTCTTCTATGATATTACGTCACTGTTTTCCTGCTATCAGTATTGCTAGGTTTAAGCCTCTATATATTTTCCTAAAACACAAGTGAGTCACACTTGAGATATGGCTTATGCAATAAGTTTGACACAAACTGTTGCAGCTTTCAGTCATGCAGAGCAAGTTCCACGAAAACTCCCTTGCTTGCCTTCGGTTGACCACTCCGATTTCCCCACGAAAACAACGCCCGGTGTGCGGTTAGCTACGCTCGACACAGTGCTCGTAACACATATATATATCTCCTCCGTGTTTACCAACGCATTTGAGTCCCTTACTCTCCACATAGAAACATGATTAGAACCGAGTTGACATAGTTGACATCGTTAAACACACACACCAATACAAAAGGGGTACAAACTGTTTGGCCAGGCTCTATCATTTACCTTTTTATTAATCACAACATTAAGCAATGGGTGATTAAATGAGGCGTGCTATGGGGTGGTTTGAGGTGTACTTGATAGCTGGAGTTAAAGCGACATGTTTGTGCAGTATTTGTGTGTGGATTAGGGGACTACCGTGACACGGGGGTGATCAATGGCATAGCGACGAGGTGCAAAAGTGTAACGCGACATAAAGCAGATCTATGGACTCGTGAAACGTTCCGTTTATTGACAATTAAATTAATTGTGTACTTTAGGTCTCTTTGTGACGTGAAAAGATATTAATCTACAAGTGTCAATAATATCTATTTTAAAAGGACGTTTTGCATTTACCTAGTAGCATGTACTTTTCATTTGGTGAATTTACCGTGTGAAAAGTTCAGACATGGACGACGTGATTAATAGTTCAGTCCACCGATTGCATAAATGCAAGAGAACCAGGCAAAAGAAACATTTACCTGTGATATAAAATACACTATTTCACACCTGAAACGTTTAAAATAACTTCGGCTGCTTTGTATAATCGCGGTCACGTCCAAAGGTATTCCCTTGCAATATCTGTAAGGTTACCTATCAAAGGGCTTTTAAGATATAGACGACTAAATTAAATGTCCAGTACGCCCGTTACATAAATACATGCCTGCTTGAAAAAATATAAATATTTGTCTACATAAAAACTCATGTGTAGTGACATTAGTTACAAATCTTGTGGATCTTGCCTAAATGCACAATTCTACTGTAGAGGTTATATGCAGTTTGGTTGCCTTGAATTTTACTTATGATTGCGCGGTCCATATTTGTGCTCTTGCACGCACTTGCATCTGAACGGTCAACTAATATATGAGGCATAAACAAAGAGAACAACGCCAAGAAGAAAAAAATTCTTATAATATTTTAGTCGAACTATGAAAGAAGAGAGTTCACTTCACACCTGTGAAAATGAAGAGATGGTTTAGACTGACCTACTAAAACATTGTGTAGTGTAAGTTAGAAAAGTGGAAATTATATCGACCAATGCCGGTATAAAGAAACTCAAGTTTCATGTGAAGGAGTACGGCTCTCCTTAAGATTCAGACAGGGTTGGGTAAGTGTGACGCAAGTAAGTCAAAATCTAAGACCGAGGCTTACCCGTACAAATGGTACCCGAAACCTGCATCCCAAAGGACTTGTTAGTACTAGTTTGTCGTGTTCTCTAGTAGAGCACAGTGAGAGAACACCACAGTAACATCTATGATGGAAACAATCTGCTTGTACCGTATAACGTGGACTCATAATTGGACCTAATGAGATGCGATCAGAAACGAAAAGTTCCGTGAGCTGTATCAGCCAAAATCCTCATTACACCCAACATTACGAGATAAAGGAATTTAAGATTTTAAAAATAAATAAATAAATAAATAAATAAAAAACCCAAATCTGAACCCTTACCGAAAACGATCAACGAAAGAAGGCGAGGAATGCAGCCTTAGAAAACTGGGAAGCTGGGCACAACTAACACAATCAACACACTTACGGCTCTCTCTCTCACACTCTACCTCTCAGTTGAAAGACGGGTAGCCCTACCAACTAGGGTGAAGAATGGGTGGAATGTACTTAAAACATGGATGTCATTGTAAATCTTACCTCAGATATTGTTTTATATCTGGCACCAAGCATTTAAAAATTGCTTGTGTTTTACCCAAAGTTTCAATCAAACATTATTAGGTTCGAGAAAAAATGGACCCTATAACTGCAATATCAAAACAAAAAGTATGCCTGTTTTCGACATCGATCAATAAAAGTGTACACTTAATTTCTTGTTGAAACAGTTGTCGAGTGTAAAATATTCGCTCGAGGTGTTGCCTTTATCGCCATTAATATTAGAATAGAGAAGTTGGAAGAGAGAAATTCATCAACACATTGAACAAAACAAAGTGCACTGGAAGTCGCTTACGGCACTTACGGAAACTGAAAATAGGAGATGATGTTTTAATGCAGTAATGTCTACATAATATTTTTTATTCTCGGCTGCTTTCAGATCCCTTATTTGTTTCCAGGAAAATGAAAATAAACTGTGTAAAAGATACCGTTCTAAGTGTATATCGGAGTCATACATGGACAACCATTACCCAAGCTTGTGCCTGTAAGAAAACACAAAAAAGGTAGACTAAGCAATGCTATTTGTTGGCACATTTCACATGGTTATCTAGAAAATCTTTCCCGTGCTAGGAAAGTCAAATATTTATTCATTGCTGTTATAGCACTCAGGAAGTTAATGTTAAGTGTGAACCTTTCTAACCGATGAGTTGTGAAAAACTGTTCATGTTTTTTTTTATATTTTACTTCCTGTAAATGTTCCCTGTTGAAGAAAAATAAGATTTACTGTTATTAATTTCTTGTTTAAACGCCTAGAATTTTGTGAGTTATTTTTCCTATATACTAAAAAAACTATATTCTGTCCCTTGAATATAAGCAATTCAACTTTTTTGTAAAAAAATATACAGTATATAGAAAACGCACACACACACACACACGCCCTCGGAAAAACACACGATTACGTATCTACATGTACCCGTATATTCGTGTATTTATTGATGAATATACTGTATATAACAAATGCATAAACAAACCAGAGCAAACACTGTTCAAAGCTTAAGGAAACATGATGTTTAGCATCACTCCAGTAACACCTATATTATAAAGTTAACCAAGTTGAACGGTTTCGCGTTTAACCTTGTAAAGATGTTCTTTACGCCTGACTCCTTCAGTATGACTGAAGCGTAATTAACCCACGCTTGAGCTGTAAAACTCATTTGGCAGAGACGAGGTGCTCGCTCATACGGCTAGACGGGAATTCCCTCATATTTTTGCCTTACGTGCAGGTACAGGTATATCCAGTAACCGACCGTCCCACACCCATTCTTCATTGCATGTGCACCGACTGCGCATCCGGCACTTATGCCAGAATCAAAACCATCGCAGAAAGCGATGTTTAAGTGTACCTGAGAAAGTGATTGGAATGATTAACCTGTGATTGCTTAATGTATTGAGGTTAAAACCTCTTTTAAAGGCGTTGCGGCATCGGCTCATACATTGGGTTAGATAATGGAGGAAAAGACGTGTAGATTTTTCAATGACATGTAGTTACATTTGCAGAAAAAAGTAATTGCAACAGCAGCCACAATTTAACAGCAATAGCAACAGTCTACATGTCGCTAATGTCTGCCTACAAACGCAAATATTTCCTTTCACGTACATGTATCCAAAGAGCCTAAATAAGATGTCTTCAAGACCCGCTGACAAAGGACACGTGTCACCCTTACCTATATGTAGTACATCTCATATCGACGGGTTGTTTGATTACAATACGTACGCTACTGTCATTGTTGTAACTCGCGTCCCGCTAGATTCAAGGCATATTTAATCAAAGAACGTACGTCTAAAAGTTGGTTTAAACTTTAAAACCAAAATTGTTTTCTACTGTGACCCCAAATGAAATAAGTAATAGCCCGATTAAACAGAATACTGCGCTCATTATACAACGAGAAAGATGTGGCTCAGTTTTAGACCGATGGTCATTCTTTTAAAGGGGACTTTTGCACATTTATACTGAATTGAAATATGCCAAATTTTTTGTTGAAAAGTTAAAACTTTCTTTCGGTCTGATTGTATGCAGCGAGAGTAACAGTGGCAGACATTTGGCAGAGAGGGGTCTTACTACGTCAGATTGAAACTGGAAAAGGGCTTTTTACGCCCACGACGGAACAGTACATTGACCTTTCAAAACAAATTACCGTCGTACGTCTTTATATTTAGATTATTAGTATTTTGTTTTACTCGCAAGTAGTCTTGATTTGGACAATATAAAAATATTTTCATTGACAGTTATTGAATTATACGTTTTTACCAGATACGCTTCTATCATTAAAATAGAACAACAAACCAAACGTCACATCTTTTGATGTGTTAACAACAAATTGTATCGGACTTAAATTGTGTCTGCGCATCAGTTTCCGTAACAATATGTTTACACCTTTCTATAGAGTTAAGTTGCTCCGTCGGTCGCACCTTTTTCCTCATTTTCAGAATTAAAAAGTAATATTTATAAATTGACGGATAAAGTGCAGGTGAAAATCTGACCGACTGACCAACTATTAACTCTAGCAAACTGATGTCAGAAATTGCAAAGAGGACTGGCACGTAGGCAATTTTGAGTCAGTCCAGACGGGAGGGCAATAGTTGACGTCTACTACCAGTCATCAAATGATCCATCAAAACAGATACCCGTACTATCTTCTCCATCTAGGCACGTGTGATATCTAGATGAACTGGAGAATGCAATGTAACCGGTCATCTAGAAGCTCCCTGGAGAGAAAACTTGCCGCAGTCGGAACACCTTTGCGGGAAATAGGCATCAGAAAACGTGTCCTGAAACCCGGTTCAGATTGTTTTCCAAATTCCTCACGATTCACGAATGAGTGAAAGGGTTTACCTTGAATATACGCCTTCTTATAAATATGGTTTCATTTTTTGTTGTGTTATTATGAAAAAGACTCCGTTACTCATACTGAATATTATGTAGGCCTAATTATACGCGAGTTAACTTGAACATGACTTCAAATGAACTGCCACCTGTGATTATCCAAATCAAGAATTATTATCAACCATCTTTAAAATAAATCAACTACTCAATAATATATAATAACATAAATTAATAAAATATTGAAATAAATATGAGTAAAAAACTGAGAAGAATTTTAGATGGGGAAATTGGGTCTAAATTTAATAAATATGAAATACTATTTGCATTATATATGTTGTTACATCATACGGCATCTTAAAATAAGTGTTCTGATTGTCTAATAAGTAGGCGATATTTCTCAAAATTTCAAGGCGATATATATTTTCAGTAGTAATAAAATGTATTAAAATAATTATCAAAATGTTTTGGTGCATTTTGTTTGTCCTTAAAATAAATAAGAACTTGCGCCTCGCGAAATATT